TAAGTAACACAATCAACATTACTATTAGCCACAGTAAGTTAGACATTTCAGACATCCTATGCTGGGTGATGAAGAACAGAATTCTAATAAAGGAGTATATTTGTTGCTCAGGGTTGAAATGAGGGGTCCTTGGTGCTCGCTGAGCTTGGATGTTTTCTTGCAGACTTTTCATTACCCAAACTAGGTAACATCATCACTTCAAGAATAGAGCTGTGAGGGGCTGCTGTGCATCACTCATACATGAGGGTAACCCCCCCCCCCCATCAGGAGGACACGTGACTTCTACAATATGATAACAGTCTCGACTATATAGTAAATCAATGGTCAAACTTAACCTTTGTCTTATTATAGAACCTGACCAATCCTAAATAAATCGTTATTTTATTTTATGTTAGTTACTGGTAGTCCAATTTTTTCCCTTAATTTTCTGTTATGTAAAGACAACAGAAGTGAGACATTTGTTAAGCAAATTTTAGACCTTTCTTGCCACAGTTGTTAAGTGAATCACTGCATTTTGATAAGACAGTAATCCAGTTATTAAGTGAATCTGGCTTTCCCATTGACTTTGCTTGTCAGAAGATTGCAGAAGGGGATCACATGACTTTGGGACCCTGCAATGGTCATAAATATGAACCAGTTGCCAAGCATCTGAATTTTGGTAACAGGATGGTTATGGGTAATAAAAAATATGTCACTTTTTTCAGTGCCGTTGTAACTTTGGACAGGCACTAAACAAACTATTGTAAGTCAAGGACTACCTGTAAAGTGCAATGAAACTACAATACAGATAAAGACTAAAACAGAAGAAAAGCCTAAAAAAGAGAAAGAGGATAGATAAGAACTTAAGCAGTTTTTGTGAGTGAGTTTTGATACTGCCAGAGGTTTGTATACAACCTCTACCTGTGAATGAGATAGGAGTTTTATGAATGAGGGATGTTACGAAGGTAGAATGAATGGTGTTATAGAAGACATGAAAAAGGGTAAGGTTTTCAGATTTATGTAAAATCACAAGATCAGAGCCTCTCTACAAGGATTTTCTGGCATCTATTCTCCAATATCATTATAGGGAATACGTTGAAATGGACGAAGCAAGATGTTCTGTGATGTGAAACAGATGTAAGACGGAATAAATGCTTAACAGGAGCAAGTGGGTCAGGTGTGGCACTTGCCTGTAAGAATTGCCCATAATCTTTAAGTCCATCTGCCATGCTGTATCATAAACATACTGGAGAATTTCTGCACTGGGTTTTCTCTAAACTTAAAGACAACAGAAGCTGGGAGGACAGGGACCACAGAAACACAGAAAAACAAGTTGTTCAAAAGAGTTGTCTTCTGTTATGAAGCAGAGTTGTCAAAATTAAGGGGGTCAGTGAACAGTTAGTAAACTTTTAAGAACTATGACAGGTAACAAATGAGTATTCTTTCCTCAAGGAGAACCATTCCTGATATCACACAAACCAGAGCATTTAAGTCACAACATGGGATCTGAAAGCAGTGCACAAAAACTTGGGAGTGGACAATCTCTAGCCATTTAAAGGTACTATAGATGCAGACTTGTAAACTGTAAAGCATCTGCAAACTAGGTTTGGCTTTAAACAGTATCCTTATTGGCCCTAGAGTGAGGAAAAAACCAGCCAAATATTGCCTTGGTGCTGTTATTAGCTTCATCGGAGACAACTTTGTTTCCACCAGGCTCCAGAGGCCTGGAATACAACACCAAGATAATGAAAGGCAGGAACTTATTGTTATCACTGTGTCATCAATCTTTTCAGCATCTAAGTCCCCTTGAGAATATCTTGATTTGGGGTTTTAGGGTAGTTAATTGTGAGCTTTTTCTCCCACCAAGACCCAGACTTCTAAGGGTAACCTGAGGAAGTGAAAGGATGGCAGCATTGTCTGCATAAAGCAGCAGAGCAAGATGTCCGTCTTTGAATTTGCAGGTGGAGGAGGAGATGAAATTCTCTTTTAGTTAGGGCTGCTATTATAGAATTTAGACACTGCAGTTGTTGAAGGGGAGCCAAGGTCCAGCTCTGTTTCACCCTTCACTTATTGGGATAGCTGCAACGAAGGGCTAGTATTACAATTTTAACCTGCATTCAGAAACTTCAAATGATGCAGAACGCAGTGACCTGTATACTTAAGGCCCAGTTTCTGAATATAGTTCAATGTATTATTTATATAAAGGCCCAAATGTCTCAGGCATCTGGGTATCTATGAAACTACCTTCTGTCTTCCCAGCCCTACTGAAAAATATGGCAGAAGGGAACCCAACGATAGGAACTCCAGGTGGAGCTCTCCTTCTGTGGAATAGCTTGCCTTTTAGAAAACTATCAAAAACATGATTGTTCCAGAAGACCTTTGGGACTGACAGGAATAATTAATGGCAGATACCTTGATTTATAACTATTATATTATTAATGTAATTTTGATATTACTGTATCTATTGTTGCATTGGCCTGTTGCTGTTATTCTTTGTGAACCACCAATTTTAATATTGAGATGGTTTAAAGCAGGGGTGTCAAACTGCCGGCCCGCAGGCTGGTTTCATCATACTGGAGCCACGCCCACCCCATTGCCGGCAACAGCGAAAAAGCTCCGATATGTCGCGCGATGTCACATGACATCGCGAGTTTGACATGCCTGGTTTAAAGGTTTTATAAATAAAGCAAGCAAACAAAAATGAATACAGCGGTAAGTAGGTACCTGTAGATGGTTGTTATTCCACAAAAAAGTAGTATTTAATAAGCTAATCTAGTGAAAGGTTCACCTTGTTTCTTGTAGCAAATATTTTTACTTTATTATTTAACTGATTATACCATTTTGCAGGACAAAAATGATTGCTTTTACTAAATCTTTCTTTTCAATTAATCATCACATTTGAAATTCCTCTGGAAAAGGAAACTACCAGAGATACTAGAAAAAGGCATCAACTAGAATCAGGGCATATAATTTTATTTTTAATGCTTTCATTAAACATGTTTGACAAATCTTACAATATAGTATTTATTTATATATATATATGTATGCTTCCAAAAGTATATTTTCTTTAAAATATATTTTAAAAAATATTGATGTTTTAATAAGCTGCATCCATTTATCCATCTTATGTACAAACAACCAAAGCAGTTTCAAAATTAGTACCAAAATAAATCCAGAATCTGACAGGAGAAGAATTATTTTCAAAGGTCAATTAACCATATTTGAAACATCAGTATATAATGAATAAATGTGTTTGGTGTCCACAAAACAATCTCTATTACTCCTATCACTGAAAACGGAGGGTTGAAGATTTACAGACAGCATTTATTCAGTGTCACATCAGTTTAGAGATAAATTAATTTCTAGGAACACTCATTGAACTGGAAGGGACACATTTTGAATTGAGTTACATTCCTTCTGACTAAAATGACATTAGCTAACTATGCTGTGTGCATAGTTAGCTAATGTCAATGGCTAACTGTAGCATAAATATGGATACTGCTATTAGAATAGGCAAGATAGCAAAATTCAGACTAGTTGTCTGTAGGTCAGTCTCAGGATTACATATTAAAGCATATTCAGATATTCATATATAACAATAACAACAAAGTATTAGCAACCCAAGATATTTTAAGCTGGGTCCAACTATTTATAAAAAACAAGCTAAACATATCAACTTAAAATAAAGATGCAACCTATATAATTAAAATGGCTTCAACAAGGGCTATTAGCAAAATTTAGAAGTAGTAGGTTACAAATCTCACATAAAACAAACGTATGACCCTAGTGAGCATTAATTCCCATGACAGTTTAATACTAACCCTCTTTCTGGAGACTGTGAATCCAGCATAAATGGAGCTATATACAAACCATCAATATTTTTTCAGTATTTGAAAATATCAGTTTTTCATGAAATGAACTTTAAGCAAAAGGGAACATGATTTGCAAGTTGGAGTTAATTTTTAAAATAATGGGTTTTTAAAAAAAATAATTACCAAGCCATAATATTGTGATTGGTTATGTGTCCTGGGTTTAAAAAAGTGGACATAAATGGTAAGTTTATATAGCAACTTGCCGTGATTATTCAGAATTGTTCCTTGTGGGAACAATTGGAGGAATCTTTTGACTTGGAGGAATCTTAAACTTAAACTAGCATAACATGCACAGAACAAAATAATGTTGGATGAACTTATGAATGTGTTTACTTGCAAAAAAACAGTCTGGATCCAACCATCAAAATTCACTATAATGTAACTGCATATAGGATATGTCAATTAATGTGCATGCAGTGGGATTTCTATAGTTAATTGACCTAATAAACATTCTCTGTCTTGTGACCACATTCTGTCAATTCAGCAATTCATTCCAGGCATGAGGGTTCCAATCAATATATGATATATCTTATATAGGCAATGGTTTCCCATTCCTTTCAGTGGGGAGAGAAGATCCACATGTAAATATAAAATGAGTCTAATAGGAAAAGCCCTTAAATATAGCAGAGGTCGGTTAAGGTTATGGATCAAGTCTAATGTAGTCTTTACTACTGAAATTTCCTACCCACATTCACCTTATCACAAAGAGTCATACCTCTAATAGTAATGTAAATTCTTTAAATACACTGCAGCTTATATAAATAGAGATTAAATCACCTTAAAAATGTTTAAAGTCTTTTTAAAAAACACAAAAATATGATTTAGCTCATTCACCTGTTTTTTTTAATCTCTTTCTTGTGAACTTACCTAGGGCTAATGTTTCAATATTTCATCTTCCATAATGACCCTATTCATTAATATATTACCTTAAATTTTGTATCCCATGTCAGCATTTACAATTTAAACTTCCTTTTAATGAACATCCCTTTAACGATGTATGTCTGAATACTATTTTCATGTCAAGCCTTAATGGGTAAAAAGTTCCATCATATTATTATATTATAAATTAATCAAATGCAGAAGATGATGCCCTGTGTTCCAAACATAAAATTCTTCATTTTCTGAGAACATACATCTTCTAAAATATCCCTATGCTACTGCTGCATAGTCACTGGTTTGTTCATTTTTCTCACTTTCTTGTGGACTGGTGATGGTGACTCTTGGAGCTGGGACTTTTTCATAATTGGAATCAACCTAGAAGAGAGGAAAAAACACATTTGAATTTGACATATTTGTGTCATAACGTAATATTTAGTGTGTATCTGTATTCATAATGATAAAGAAGCTCTGAATTCTGCAAGTTGGAAGTCATCACTGAGCATGCCAATTGCTTTTGCTTATCAAAGTTCTAACCCTTCTCTATATGTATGGATTAGCTTAATTAGATCACAACAAACACAGTGTCTAGTGATAAAGCAACTAATTCACAATATATATATATATGGATGATCAGAAAAATAATTTTTCTTGCTAGTAAAAGTAATAGTAAAAATGAATAGGTTTGCATTCTTAGTTATCTTGCAGAAATAAAAGGAAATGGGACAACTGAGGATTAAGTTAATTATATGGTTAGGAAAAAAACCCTCATCCTATTTAACATAACTTCCTACAGATTATTCTGGAAAAATCCATCATGGGTGACTAAGCAGCATCTGCTTTTGATTGGTATCAGACATTCTGAAAGATAAAGTACGTGAGGCTTCGCAGCTTCACAGATATCAATATTTTGCATGTTTCCGTGGTTTCACATAAAGCAAACACACTCAGTTTAGCAAATGCATTAAGTGCATTATTTGAAAGACAGTGTTATCAATTCTAGTGTAAAACTTTGATCAGAATGCATAGAGGTGTTTTGCAGATAATATCCAACATTCTTTTGTTACTGGATTCAGCATCCCTTATGAAAATACCAGTAGAATCATCCACAGTGAGAACAGTTTCCCTAAAACTGCAATACCAAGGATAATGTAGATTGATTGCAGACTAACCTATTGCTATAGCAGACAAATGGAAGCATTTTCACACAGGTACATAAAAGACAAAGACATGTTACCTGGATTTGATCATCAATACCTTCTTTTGTTTCTTCTGGATGACTACTGGGATCCATTTCCTCACCATTTTCTTCATTTGTGTTACCATGCATGTGGTCATTAGACTCTTGTCCTGCTTGGTCAAGGTTCTGCCCTTGTAATTCATCTTCATAATGGTCATTCTGTTTCTCTTTGCCTTCCTCCTTTCCATTAATAGCCTCCCCATTTTCCCCATTCATTGTTGCATATTCTCTTTGGTTTAAAGCTTTATGTTCTGGTGCTTCATTTTCTTCCTCATCCACAGTTTCTGCTGGTCGCTGATGAATACAGAAAAAAAACGTTTAATTGAAATAATCCAGAGTGAATCATGAAAATAAAAAGTAAAAACATTATAGTATACACATTGCAGGATATAATATTAAACTGCCAAAACTGAATCTGGACTTCCAACATCAAGAAAAAAAATCAGTCAAAAATGTCAACAAATAGTGGAATATAAAGAAAAGGGAAGTGAGAGGGTTTTTTTAAAGAAGATTAAAGCAATCAAGGAAAACTTACAACTAGCACAAAAATACTCAACAGTAATCATAGATGAATAAAAAAAAACTTAAGAAATGTCAGAAGGACCTTACAGATCCTTTACCAACAGGGTGTTAAATAATATAAATATTTGCAGAGAAAGAATATATTCATAAATCAATTCCATTAGAACTGTGAAATGTGAAATGTCAGATAATAGGTCAAATCAATTATCAAGTAAAAGAAAACACCCACTGAATTGTTTAAAGTGGCAGAGGGCCAATTAAAGTGTTAGAAATTATGTATCAACAAATATGAAACAAGACTCTGCAGCCTGGAGATTGGAAAACCTAAACTTGTAAGAAAAAAAAGCAAATTATTGAATCGGCACTAATTTCTCATGTCACAGACATTTGCTTAAAAATTTACAAAAAGAATATACCAAATTTACAAAATGAAATACCAAACAAACAGTGAAGTTTCAGACCAAAGGTGGATAATGAAGAGAACAAAATAAAAAGATGTTATCTTTGTTTTATCAGCTACACTAGTTTTCTGATTGTGTAGATCAGGGGGTGTCAAACTGCCGGCCCGCAGGCCGGATGCGTCATGGTGAAACTGCGCCCACCCCATTGCCGGCAATGGAAAAAAAGTCACAATACGTCGCGACATGTCACGTGACGTTGCAAGTTTGACACCCCTGGTGTAGATCATGTTAGAATACAGAATAGACTACAATACATCTGCTAGAACACCTATTTTTTTGAAGAACCTTTACAAAGAACAATATAATATGTACAGTATAAAATGAATTTGGGAATACTGAGTAGTTCAGAATAGTGAAGATATTGAAATAGACATATCTGTTTAAAATATATAACAAACATATTATAGATATAGCAGAATTGGAAGATACATCAGTTGAATCAAAACAGGAAGCAGGGACATGTTTTGAGATATGCAGATGACATTACATTTTCAGCCAAAAGGAAATATATAGGAAAACTCATAAACAAACAGAAGAAGATAAAATGTACTTGTTTAGTGGGGGATTGATTTGGGTAACATACCCACCCCAATGATATGACTCTGTTCCTTAGCAAATATGACCATCTTTCAAAACAATAGTGGGCATTATTGCTATCTTATGTCCAGTTGCCCACCGATACTATAATAAATTGGTATCTGCATCCTGACTTTTTCAGTAGTGGCTAATGCATTCTTACATTGAAAGGATATGTAGAGTGCCTTATTACTGATTTAAGAGGGAAAGCTCAGTTTTCAATTCTGCAAACTTGCTGTACCTTTTCTGTAAAAAAAAACCCCAAGTAATCAAATCTAAACTGTCCAAAGCTACCCAGAAGAAGGGCTAAATTACCTATGGAGACTGATAAATTGTAGGAGAAGAGCAGGCAGAGCTGGAGGACAGAGTTAAGCACGTCATCAACTTAAATAAATCTTCTATGCTGCAACTTAACATTAATTTAAGTGTAAAGGATCAGAAAAATCCATTAAGATGGAGCCAGATAAGGGTCAACAGAATTCAAGGGGGGGGCTAGGCATGGATCACTTGTGGGAATGTAATAACTCTAAGCTGATGTTGCACTTAACTCTGTCCCTCAGCTCTGCTTGCTCTTCTGCTACATAAATCTGCCAAAAGAAAAAAAAATCAGATTTCTTCTTCTAATGCTGCATCAAAAAGTGGTTCTTTTAAAAGCTATATTTTCTCTTCTGCATTCCCTGCATTAAATAAGACTAGTTTCACTATCTTTGTCCCAGAACTTCCTAGAACGTCACATTAGTACACATCCAAAGCATGCAATATCAATGTGAAAGTGCAAACATTTAAACCGCTGGCGTTTATCCAAACTTTTGAGATTACCTGGTCAACTGGGACCTCAGTTTGAGTGTCTTCATCTTCCTGGACTTCTGCTGCCCCTCGCATTTCAGATCGCTTTTTTCCAGCTTTGTAAACACCATCATCTGGAGTGGAAAGAAGCAGAGCCAATTTTGTGACACTGTGTGTGACACAGCATCTAAATGATATCTCATTGGTTATCTTTTTTGCATTATTACTAAACATCATTACTAATAAAAAGGTTACTTGAAGCTGTTTCTTCTTCAAAATTGTTTTTCCAAACATATACAGTATATAGCATTCATGAAAATAACACACAGATAAGTATTAACAGTTTTATCGATGTAAAGACTTACCTGTGGAGAAACTCCGTATCTGTGTCACTTATACATATTAAAAATGACCCTTGAGGTTTTCCTTAGGCCTGATTTATTTATTCAGTCAATAAAGCCTCAGGAAGGCAAAGTGGATAGAATAACATGACTGATGACACAAGCATTCATTTAGAGGAACTCAAAGAAGCACTTACTGTAAGGTCATCCTAGTGAAAAGATGTCCTTTCAGAATGACTAAATGAAGGAACAACTGGTACCCCACTATAACCATCCGAATACAATAATTGCCAGCAAATCTACTGTTGAACTATACTTGAAAACAATGTTTGGATTTACTAGAAATAAAAATGGTATTTCATTATGTAATTTATTAATTAAATTATCAATACCACATGTTCTCTGAAAAATAGAAAAGCTAGAAAAATATTTTAATATTGATAAGCTTGAGTGAGAAGAAAAAAATAACTGATCTAATATACATTAAGAAAGTAGAAGCAAAGATAAATATATTTTGAGCTCCTTAAAAGCTGATAAAATCCACCCCTTGCTTTTGAAACTGAACACGGACACAGGAAAGGCTTTTTTCAGTAGTTGTGTATAAATAGTTCTCTACTTATGATCATTCAAAGTTACAACAACCACAGAAGGGGTGCTGTACAACCGTTAAAGTACTCCAACTGTCATAAATGGTTGCACCAGCCCCCATACAGTCACACAACTGCAAATCAGGGGGGTCAGCTTTATGACCAGTCACTGTTCTGCAGTCACATGACTGTGGTTCACGGTTTTGGTCAGTTTCTGGCAAAAAAAAATGGTCATTCAAATGGGTTCAATTAACAACTGTTATGTTTAATGACCGCCAAAAAAAAGCCGGAATATTGCTTCCAGTCACATGGTGCCTCAACTTATGACCATAATGACTTACAATGGGATTGTAACAAATCCAGTCCCAATTATGGTTGTAAGTTGAGGACTACTTGTACAGATTCTAGCACAAAGTGACTGCACAGCTCTCTTTAGGGAAATATTTGGCTACTGGGTGAAAAATTCAGTTAGGCCTCTGCACTATCGAGCTGAAGACATTTTTTTGGTGTTGCTGATGCGTTTTATTTAAGTGGCATGCTATGATATCCCTGCTTATTTATTTGCTTTATTTTATTGTATCATATGTTTGATAATTTTTACTTTGCACCAAGGTATACTTTTAAACCATTATTTCTCAAACTGTGCATCAAGATAATAGATGGGTGATCACCCGAAAGAGCTTTTTTTCACATGTTCTTTCTGAGCATGAACTTGCATGTGGCTTTGCATTCAATAGCAAGTTGAATGCAAAATGACCTATCAGCTTCAAGAACCTGTATGGAACTTAAATACCATTTATGTTTTTTAACATATACCATTTTTCAAAGGAATAACACATGGAGGGCACAAAGTTTCTGTGTAAAGCTCTGAACTGAAGCTCATTCTACAGAGGAAATTACAACAAAGGGGAACAAAGCAGAAGTGAGATTACAACAAGAAGGAAATTGCAAGAATGGATAGAGAATGTTAGAAGCAGACAGCACGAGGCTGGAAAACAAAGAAAACAGACTACAACTGGCATCTTACTGTGGCTGCACTGGGAGAAAAGAGTGCAAAAAGCAAGTTACTGTCTAGCAGTTTTTTTCAAGCCGCCACATTTAATATCATTTTTCTCCTGTAACATTTTTCATTTATTTCTAGTGGCAGTTTTATTTTTATAATTTTTAAAGACCAATCACTGTTTAGCTGAATGTATAGATTAAAATCTAATTATTAAAAGTATATTTGTTAATCAATTCTTACCCCCAATTAAATAATTACTTTTATTCATAGGTTGGTGTTGCACAAATTCATTCTGTCATTTTAAGGGGTCACAGTATTGCAAGGTTGAAAAACTTCGATGAAAATAAGTATAGCTAAACATAAACTAAATTATAAAGCAATTAAGCAATACATGCCATCTATCAGCAATTCATACAGCTCATATAAGATGCTTCCAATGCAAAGTACGCTTTAATGGATACTATCATTCCCAAAATTCCCTGCCTGGCTATGGAAGATTGAAACTAAAGTTTTAAATCTGTATGCTATGTTCATCTATCTTATGAATGACATTGATGGATATTAAATTTTAAGTATGAAGACCAATGAACCAAATCATTACACATCACACACACAAAGTTATAATTGCCGCTACTTTTTATAATATTAATAAATCTGAGGTATTAATAGGCATTGAGTCTGCTGAGAAAGACATTTGAAAATGAAGTATCTGTCTGCAGCAATGTTTCTCAACCTTGGCAATTTGAAGATAAGTAGACTTAGGCTCCGAGAATTCCCCAACTAGCCATACAGTCCACATGTTTTCAAGTTGCCACAGCTGAGAAATACTGGTCTACACTAATCATTCCCAATAATTTCATTCTTTAGAGGTAACTGTTTCTGCTTGCAGAGCCCAAATAGTTCTACACCAGGGGTAGTCAACCTTGGCTCTTTTATGACTCGTGGACTTCAACTCCCAGAATTCCTGAGCCAGCTAAGCTGGCTCAGGAATTCTGGGAGTTGAAGTCCACGAGTCATAAAAGAGCCAAGGCTAACTACCCGTTCTACATAGAAGGCAAACCCATGACATTTGGGTTCCTAACAGTTGAAAAGAAGTCAACAACCAATTTATGAAAAATGTTTAGAAAAGGAAATATGCAAACGTAGTGTCCTTTCAGAGATGCCAACTGCGGTTTGAACATGATGGTTATTCCCACATCTTCCAGAGCTCTCAACCCCCCGAGAGGTGGTTGAGGAGCAACTGTTTGGATCACTTATAGGTAATCTCAAGCCTTCTCCTTGTCTGGAGAGGAATTATTGAACAGCCAGTCTACTAGCAGGCTCTTCAATCCACCACAATAATCAGTCTACCATTTCTTCCCCAGAAGTCCGATAATTTCTGAAAACACCGTGAATTCCTCTATCTACTGAAAAATATTTCTTCTTTTCTGACACTCAGTTCCTGCATTCAGTGTGAAAGAAACTGACATATTGTGATAAAAGGAAATATTAAATAACACATTAATTAGAGTTTCAAAGAATTAATAAGAAATCAATATACTTTAATTACATCCAGAAAATTAATGTTCCTTGCATAAGCTTTTTTCTTAAGCAGAGCTAACAATAAAAAACGTATTGCACACAAATGATAAATAGTACTTACAACCATTTAATGAATTTCAAATTTGAAGTTCAGCATTAGGGAGAAAATAATCTTGGTAATAATAGCTTGTTTCCCCTGAATATTTTATGTAAATAAAAGCTTTAAGTTCAGTAAGTAAGCAGGAGAATTAATGTAACTTCAAAAGAAAAAATCAGTGTAATTTACCACATGCTATCTTATTTTTTTTTTAAAAGAACATATTTTTCATTAGCTCTAATAGATATTTAAAAGGAATAGAGAAAAGATTCTATCCTATTCTCTACGATAGAACAAAAAGACACAAAGAGAGGTAGAGAAATTGTCATTGCTCTAAATATTTTTTTAAAAAAATATCCTATGAGAATTATACATTTATCACGAAAATGGGACAGTTTTCTATACAAAAAACAGCTCAAGCCAAGTTATCTTGGGGTACAAAACTTCTTGCAAAAGAAGATGACACTTATTTAACAAAACGTATGTGAGATGAAAATGAAGCTATAACACATCCCAGTGCTAATAGTAATAACAGGAAAATATGGGAATACTATTAGAACTTACGTCACTTGCTATTTAGTCCTTGCTTAACGATAGTATTTGGGATAGGCAACTCTATCACTGAGCAACACTGTCATAAAGCATGATGTCCTATGACTGTGCCATCGGACAGCAGTTGCAACACTCCCCGGTGCTGTCATTAGGTGACTCCTTCACAGTTGCAGTATCCCGCAGTCATGTGATTGCTGCTTGCAACATCTTTCCAGCTTCCCCATTGACTTTGCTTGTTGAAAGCTGGCAGCAAATATCACAAACGGTGATCATGTTATTATGAAATGCTGCAAGCTCGTTGCTAAGCACCCAAACTGCAATCATGTGATTGTGGAGATGCTGCAACAGCTGTAACTACAAGGATCCATTGTTCAATAACTTCAAACATTGCTGAACAAGTGGTCCTTCAACAAGGACTACCTGTCCCACTTCTTCAATCATGATCTTGTTTGCAATGACGCCACTTTACCCTTGCTTGACAAGTGCTAAATGTACTAGTGGAAAGAAAAAAGTAATGACATCACAGAATCTAGCATGCATACATAGCACAAAGCAAATTTAATACCCCTTCATGAAAAGCTCTATGAGGGTGGGTAGGATTATAACCACACTTTACCACAAACAGCCAGAACCAGATAGAAAGAAAACTTTGTCAATGTAATACTTTTATTAATCTATTAATTTATGAAATCTAGAGTCTAGCTTTCTGCCAACAGGCCGAACTTAATACACTAAGCGTAATTTTATAACAGCATCATTGAAACACCCACAAAAATGTATAAACATTTCTCTTGTGACATTCTTAGTAGTAAGATGATCAAAATGGAGGTAAATTCTCATGCTAAAGAATCTATTTAGAAATATCTGAAATGAGCACCAAGTGGGAGGGACCCATATCTGCTAACAAGTACAAGAACAGAGCCATAGCTGAAAGAGTCACAATTTTTATTGAAAAATATTAATGACGTACAATGCATTCATTCATGGAGGGCCCATGAAAAGATAGCCAAGTAACAGATGCAGATATTTCCATCATATATTTTTTCTGACTATAACTGCACCTGTTACATTTCCATCTGTGAAAGGCCCAAGAGTCTCAGGACAAAGATAGCAACTTCAGAAAGGAACAGCTGCTAATCCTTTTTTTCTTTTTTTTTCTTTTTTTGCAATCTGTGGAAGTTCTTGTGGGAAATACTTAAGCTGCTGGGAGTGTTGGGTGGCTGCTGTTGTCTGTGGAAAGACAAGAGAAATAGTGCTACATAATGCATAGTAGTTATAACAGAACTGTAAATGTGTGATTATTGAACAAGTGACTGAAAAGGTATACTTATCTGAGTATTTTTTTTTTATTTCATCTCTCACAATCAAATTTCCCCACCCTTCCCAGGGATATAAACCTAGGTCATGTAATAATAAATGTAATAAAGTAATACTCACCCATCCATGAGGAATTGAACAAAACTTGATTTGTGGTTTATAATGTGTTCTGCAGCCATGTGCCATGTGCCTTGGCTTTGCCTCTATAAGAAATAATGAGTTAGCAATGTTTGGCTCCATATCTATTTTTCAATAAGAAAAGAAAATGGGTTCCCCACCGTCTACCCCATACAGAGCTCTGAGCTTTTGTTAGAACAAGGTCTCTCAGGCTGTACTCTCTAAAAAATGAGACAGCATACCACATATTCTGAAGGAGCAGATAAAAACACACTGTAATCTTGCGTGTTGCTTTGTTCTACAAATCTCAGAGATGGTTTTGGGGCCATGATTTAGAAGACCCGATTTAAAACCAGAATGCCCCGGACTATAACGCTCCCTTGCTTACCTTTTATTTTTTCCTCATTTCCCTGATTGTAGGAAAGAATGGAAGTTCCTTGTGTTTGATTCTGAAGTCTACATGTAGAATACCTACAATAGTTCTGAAAAATCATATTATCAATCCAGTCTTTTTAGTTTGTTATTGACCTTAGTTGTTTACTTTAAGCCACGTATCACAAAGTTCTCATCACCAAGTTGTGCACTTGTACATTCACATTATGGGGAAAATAGAACTTAAATGATGCAAACCCCTGTCATTAAATGTTGGTATATGAACTCTGTTTTCTTACTTCATTTATATAATCCAGTATAATCGACTATATTATGATTGATTAATAAAATGGTCAAAACTCTTTCCACTGTAGTAATGTAATTGAGTAGCATGACTCACCACTAATAAGTAGCAGTCTTGCTAATATCGATGAGTCTTCTTTATTTACATTTCTTATCCCATTAACTGAATGGGTTTGAATAAATAAAGCATACAAATTCAGAAATAGCAAATTGGGATTTTTGTGACAGCTGCTTTTAATGTTCATTATTACATACTTACTTATTTAATTATATTTGTAATGTGCCTGGCAACAAGGTGCAGGAATAAAACCAAGGTGACTGTGAGTTTTAATCCTCCCTTAGGTGTAGAAACTAGTTGGGTGATTTGGGGCCAGTTACTCTCTCTCAACCCTATTCATTTTACTGAGTTTTTCTTGAAGTGAGAAAAAAGAAGCCTTCACTGAACAAAATAAAGACCATATATAAAACAAATCTATCAAATACAAAATAAATGGTACCCTAATTTTATGTACTTACCATTAACAGGAAAAATGTAAGATTTGGTTATAATTTTTGCATCTTCTTTTGATTTTGTAGGTTTTTTAGACTCTTGATTGTGTCCAATCTTTTCCTTTCTCTTTGGAGGTTGAGGAGAAGACAATGTATCCCCTGTGTCGGTAGATTTTGACTAATATGATAGAGGGAAAACAGATAATTTATTTGCGGAAACCTGAAAAAGTGTTATTAAATATAAACTTCAAATGTATGCGTATAAAGGTCCTTAATATAAACATTCCTAAATTGCAATTTTAACACCGTTGTACTTTAGCTTTACTATGAAAAAGGCAACTTATTAACAGCTACAGAAATTCCAAGCAAACAAAAAGGTCAAGCCTAAGCCCTGTCTATGTGCTTCCTTCCCATGTCTCACAATATATCTATGAGTGAATCTATAAAGGAAATACAATTTTTTTCTGATCGGATTAAACACAGTAAACCACAAAACCCATATTATATTTGATACTTACACTCCCCTTTGATTTTCCAGATCCACCAATAGGTGGTAGCGACGATGCCTTTGAGCTACAAAATCAAATACATAAATGTTTATTTATTTGTACACTAAAACAGCCCAACTATTGCTAAAATGTGTAGAAACAAAATTATGATGTGGTATATTTTGCTGTAGTTTCTGTAATAATTATTATGGCATATCCCAAAATGATGCGCAAAGTTGTAAGAATTCTCCTAATTTTTCTGAGGTGGGGTCCAGTTGGTGTTGGCCGGATGGAAAGATCAAGCCAGGAAGTCCTCCTATGGATGGTATCTCAGAGCCTGATGCTCTTGCCCTTCCTATTTAACATATATATCAGACCACAGGGTGAGGTCATCTGTTGACCTAGGATCTGATATCATCAGTATGTTAATAAGTCCCAGCTATATAGTTCAGTCCTGAGTCAGTCAGCTGATTCTGATAAAATCTTGTTCCAATGTTTGGAGGTTGAATAGGTCTGGATAGGGAGGAACTGATTTTGGTTCAATTCTGATTAGATACAGTGGCTGTTTGGACCTCCTAAACCTGGAATTTGCTCCTGAATGTGATTGCACTTCTTTCCTCAAGACTGGTATGCAACTGCCATGACTGAAAAGTCGTTTGACAAATCCATAGACCCTCAGAACTGGTCGTTTCATGACTGAACTATGAACTGAACTGAACACGACCTGCTCATATGAGACATCTGCTCTTTGAGCTGCATTGTTTGCCAGTAAGCTTCCATGTATAATAACCCTCATAGAAAAGGACCTCTTTATCCGTGGACTGCTTGTCTCTTATAGTTTCTATTTGTCTCACACAATCTGACAGATTCAGCTTACTTTGGGTGTAATTGAGCAAACAACTTCACTTGGAAGCAGGGGTTTTCTGTCATTATGCTTATCCTCTGGAACACCATTCCCCCTGAGATTTGTTCATCTCTCTCTACCGGGTCCTATTTAAATGAGCCCTTAAAATCTGGCTCTGTTCCCAGACTCTGGGTTAAACTGGGTAATAGACCACTTGTATGATGTTCTGTTTTTTTCTAAATTATAGTTGTTTTCTGGACTTTTGAAGTATTTGTGATGTTTTATGTACTGTTACTATAGATTTTACAAGCCATCTAGAGTTGTAATGTATCGGGGCAACACTTATTTTCATAAATAAAAAATCTTATTAAATATTACAACATTTAACCATTTCACTAATTATAGTTAACTATGCACTGGTAGTATGAGAAATAAACAAGTATTATTAGTGCCTGCCTGCTTCTCTGTGTGTCTCTCTCTGTGTTTCTCTCTCTGTTTCTCTGTCTCTGTCTCTGTCTCTGTCTCTGTCTCTCTTGTGTGTGTGTGTGTGTGTGTGTGTGTGTGTAGGGAGGGAGGGGAAGAGGGAGAGGGAGAGGGAGAGAGAGAACCAGGTAAAATGCTGTTAGCCTGAATCAACCTCTACAAAATGGCTGGAAACAGCATTCACACGTAATTATTCATCCTGTGTAATCTTACATCATCTGCAAAGCAATATTACAAGCATTTTTGGGTTATACCATGGCTTTAAAGGTTCAGCCTAAAATATGTAGTTGTATGTAATCTCAAACATTGCCAGGTATAAATGCTTCCTTACTACAAATATGACATGAATTAGGCAATCAAGTGAACAAAGAGTATCAGCCACTATACCCAGCTGTTCCTTCATATATCCATAGAAGTCTAGAGTCAGCAGAATCTCAGTTGTGACCACTCTGGTGATATCTCTTTGTTGTTAAGGACTCAGAATTATTAACACTATGGTAATTAACCATGTTAATATCAAGTACCAATACCAGAATTTTTGTTCACCAATAAAGCGAGGGCAAAAACACATTTACATACCCATAAGATCTCTTCACCGTGGACTTGCTGAACAATAGTTCATTATATGGCAATTTCTTAAACTTATCTCTGCCAACTGCTACATAAAACTGTCCATTTTCCAAATCCAGCCCGCTTTCCACAGGTTTTCCATCTAAAGTGTAAAGCCTGTAAAAGAGACATAATAGTACCATAATAGCCTTTTAGTAAATATGTTCTCTAACAGTTGAATTGTACTACCAACCAACAAACACCTAATAAATCTCATAACAGGTTGTGAACTTTATTTCAGAAAACAAATCTTGAGTCTCATCACAAGAAAAAATATAAGCTATACATAAAGAAATTTGTATAAGAAAAGTTCTCATGAATGTGCTGTACTTTGTAGAAAATTGGCCTTACATATCAGTACTCATTAAAATTGTCTACTATTGCTCCATAGCAAAAACGAAAAGTAAATTTGTATTCTGCATACAGCCAGTATGAAAGGTTTGCTTGCCTAACTGAGCCAATAACAATGTCAAGAATAAACAACTTAGAATAATGTAGTAACATAAAACAATCTAAAATCAAGCAAATATCACAAAATTGCTGCAACAGAACAGTAGCCAGGAACATTAAAAACACAAAATCATCTGTTATCGCTGTGAGTAATTAAGATATAAATACTATGGAGGAAAAAACTAAAGAATAAAAAAAAAATTCACAATTTCTTAGAATAGATCATGTCAATGTAATGATTGAACAAATAAACTGGGGGGAGGGAATTGGAGATAGAGGAACTGCCACCAACAAAATCCTAGCCTGAGTTGACACTAGGAGGACTTCTTCCCAGGCTGCCATTTGCAAGAAACTATAACAGCAGAAGAAGCTTTTTGAATGAGAAGCAAAACATCTTCAAAGAAAAACAAGGAAGTCCAGTTGTCTCTTGAAAAAGCACATTTGGGACAACCATGACAAGGATTATTAAGAATCTCCATAGACCGGGGTGTCAAACTCAATTTCATTGAGGGCCGCATCAGCATTGCGGTTGCCCTTGGGAGGCCAGATGGGTGTGGCCAGGGTGGGTGCGGCCTACTGGGTGGGCATGGAGTGGGTGTGGCCTACTGGGTGGGCGTGGCCAGCTCTACATCATTTGTATCAAGGGTGCCTGTGGGGGCCTGGGCAGGACTGGGACAGATCTGAGGGTCTCTGGCAGAAGGGGGTGGGACCAGGGCAAGTGCCAAGGCATGGTCCACTGGAGGAGCCGCACTGTTCCTCTGAGGCCATGCAGGGGGGGCTGGATGGTGGTACGGGCTGCCCAGAGCTCTGGGCAGCAGAGGTCAAACGCCCAGCCTGGCCCTCAAGCACCTGCAGCACCAAGCCCAGCTCCACTTCCCCAAGGGGGCGCACAGCTGCACTTACCTCCTCCTCAAGGCTGCTGCAGCTGTGCTTGCTCTCCTTAGCCAGATTACTCATGATGGGTATGAGGGCAAAGTCAGAGGGAGGTCCATTCCCTCTCCATGGGAGGGCCAAGGCAGCGGGGGCCATTCCCTCACTGTTTCCAGGATGGCTTTGCAGGCCACATGAAACCACTTCGCGGGCTGCATCCGGCCCCCGGGCCTTGTGTCTGCCATAGACATTTAGCTCTGATGCTCAGAATGTGATGCTCAAGTAGCAGCATACAGAGGAAGATGTTCTATTAAGTTGAAGGGGTCTAATCATATATAGAGATTTAAATGTAGTAAGAAAAACACTGAATTTAACTTGGGAAGAAACAGGAAACCTATGCACTTTAATCAAAACAAATAATACATGCTCCTCCGGTTTGCAAATCTTTTTCAAGGCCATTTCCACCTGGAGCAGTAATCAAATGGGTAACAAGAACCACAAAGAAGGGCTACAGCTAGTAATTATCTGCAGATAGAAATGGGCACTCCTGACTACCATGCTGACCAAAACATTCAAGGTAACTGCAGATCTGACCTTCAGCCTCTTGTTTGACAGGAAAAGTCCCTTCAGATTGGTTGAGACCTCTCCCAACCCCAAATCTCATACTACTCTAAATTCAGTTTCAATCTATTATCAGAGCCATTATCATAATTCATCCAGTTTGCAAAGGGTAGGAGGGGGGAGGGAGATGGGGATGAGGGGAAAAGTCTTCACGTAATTGTCGCAGTTACTCCCACCTGTCCTAGTGTTAATTACCGTAAATGGCTCTCTATATTTAAGAGGCAAAGGAATTCACCTGTGCTTCAGACTTAATTGTTGTCATCTCTCTCTTCTGGATATAAGTTAAATAAAAGCAAGTTTTTACCTTCGTGTTTTTCTTGATAAATCTTTTACTATAAATACATGAAATATATTCAGCATTTGATTATGTCAGGAACATATCGTCTAACAAAGATTCCTGCTGAATTCATATCTCCAACATGAGGGCACTAGAGAGGATACCCTGGCCACTACAATTTTTAGGAGCACAACTGAGTACATGTTACTCCTATCGTGCTCTAGCACAGGGGTGTTAGGATAACAGATTTGAAACTGGCTTGAAGTTACTAATAAGCATTGGGGGTTTTTTCAAGTTGAAGCACCAGAAAATATGGCTTTTTACTGTACATAAAATACTAGTACACAGGCAGCCTTGATTTTAGCACTTTACTATTAATTAAATTAAGAGCAAGTTTGGTGCTGTGGTAAAGGCATCAGGCTAGAAAACTGGGAGAGTGCGAGTTCAAGTCCCACCTTAGGCATGAAGCCAACTGGGTGGCTTCATTCTTTCTCAGCCCTAGAAAGCAGACAATGGAAAACCACTTCTGAAATCTTACCAGGAAAACTGCAGGGATTTGTCACTAGGAGTCAACACTGGCTTGAAGACATCCCCACCACACACACACACTCAACCTAAATTATAGCTAACAAAAAATACAGATTTAATAGAATGCCTTATACCAAACATGTCAAACACAAGGCCCAGGGGCCGGATGCGGCCCACGAAGTGGTTTCATGTGGCCCACAGTGAGGGAATGGCCCCGCTGCCTTTGCCCTGGCCCAGGCCAGCCAGGAGCCAATGCACAATTTTGTGGTGGCCATCTTGGCACTTGCCCCGGTGGACCATGCCTTGGCACTTGCCCCGGTCCCACCCCCTTCTGCCAGAGACCCTCAGATCTGTCCCACTCCTGCCCAGGCCCCCACAGGCACCCTTGACGCAAATGATGTAGAACTGGCCACGCCCACCCAGGAGACCACACCCACTCCACCCACGCCCACCCAGTAGGCTGCACCCACTCTGGCCACACCCACCAGGCCCCCCAAGGGCAACCGCAATGCTAATGCGGCCCTCAGTGAAATTGAGTTTGACACCCCTGCCTTATACCAAGGCATCTATAGCTTGAGAAATAGGTTCATATCTGCACCGCTAACAATAACCACTAGATGGGACATTAGGCCAGTTTATTTACCAAATTATTCAAAATGTTGATAGGGTAGTTCAAAATGTATACTGAGCTATAAAGATACAAATCAAACCCTTAAAATTTTCTGCAGATGCAAGTATTTAAGGATCAAGCACAGTTTCAGGGTAAGTACACAGACTGGAGTTCTTCCACAGATCTCCATATCGGTCCTTGATATATTTAAATTTTTCCATATGCTTCTCAGATTGAAAAATGTTTTAGCTTTTCAAAAACATAAAACAAAGCTAAAACTAAAAGCAACATAAATTGCTAGATTTATATGGATTACCTAGTAGCAAATTTGTTAAATGGAACACAAATATTAAATATTTGAGCTTTCCATAATTCTCATAACCTTATTCAGCTATTATGTACTTAGCAGAACTACATTTTGACATTCATCGTAGAGGGTCTCAGATATATAATGGTGCTTGCTGACTGAAATTCACCATGATATTCTAAAACAAAAATATGTCGTATGGACAGAATTTATCAAATGGGCTTGATAGCATATACACAGTACCTCATTTAAAAAAAAAAAAAAAAAATTTAGCTAATTTTCCAGTGCTGTGATTCTAACACACCAATGATGTAGAATTAGTCTTCCATGAACTAAAGCTGTGCAGCAGAACTATTTAAGATGGGGATTATCACTGGTTTTCAAAATTCATGAAAAAGATAATGACATGAGCCTTAATGTGCTTCTATGTAAGGCTTTTATTGTCCAATTCATCTAAGCTATTCACAGAATGTTATTTGGAGAGGGAAAGCCAAGTATAATTGTATTGTATCTTTCCCTACTATTGTTTCTATCCTTTTTTAAATGAGTTAAAAAAAACCCATTAAGGAAAGCCAGAAGAAGTGAAAGATATGCTTGACAGATAGCTCTAGGGCTCTGTATTTAGAAAAAAACAAAGAATTTTTAAAATTACTGTATGTGTCTCTGATAGACACTATGGCAGCGTCATTTTGATACCCAGTTCCTAGACCACAGGCAAATGACATTTTTGTAATCAGGGATCACTTTTTAAAAATTCTGTTTTATTTTAGTCTTCTATGGTCACAATGATAGTGATACAATTACCGGTATGTTGACTGACAGGTCAAAATAGAAATGTCTGTCCTTTTCAGTGGTGGGATTCAGCCAGTTTGCACCACTTTGGCAGAACCAGTAGCTAATTTTTTGTTGCCCAGGCCCAGAATGGACTTCCGGAAGCAGCATCCACACAGAGAATCGGCTGTTCATATATTTGAATCTCACCAATGGTCCTTTTTATTGCTTTTGTATTATTTTAGCATTTGGTTTAAGAAAAAAATGCACTATTGAAAGTTTAGTGCACCCATTATCTTTTAAAATTGAAAAAATCCATGCCAAAAATTGACAATTCTAGTAGATTTCAGCAAACTGAATCTGGAGGGCTTGACAAGCAACATAGAGACTATGGGCTGCAAATTGACCATCCCTTTTTTAGCACCATGCTCCTGTTTTCCTACACCGCCTCATCTGACACCCTAGCTTGTGTAATTTTTATTTGCCAATAAAATGAGTGGATTTCCGTCTTCATTTTCAAATCTAATATATTTCAATCAGATGGGCTCAATTATTTGTGCTACTATAGATTGGGATTAACAGCAATTAATTTTCTGTTCTTATCTTTAGCTTAAGGAGTTGTTAAAAATGACTGTGAATTGGGGATTTGTTTTCATATACAAGGAATAATATCGCTAATCCTATAAATGAAGTGCATAACTGAGAGAGGAAAAGAACCAGTATTGTTGCTGGGCTGTGCTGAAAAATTAATTGCCCATTCATTTAACACAGAGTTTTGTCTTTATCAGAATTAACGGTCTTTACTGGAATTTTGACTAATGGAGTTATCATAAATCACAGTAACTAACCTGTTAATTATTAAACAGTAATGAATTTTAGTAGCTTTAGTGTGCTCTCTTAAGATATCAAATACAAAAACTTGATTTATAGAAAACTAAGAAAACCAAATAAATAAGCACAATGCACTGTTGAAATATCTCTTATCTACACACTACTAAAACTCTTATGTCTGAAACCTTTGACTGGGCAAAATAGTGCAGCATAGGACACAATTTAATCAACCAAGGTACTTCAAATGGGCTAACTTGCAGAATGCTGGGACCCATTACTCCCATGGAAATGAAATTTTGAAACGTTCTTGCCGTTTCATGCTGTGTTCAGCACCTCTGCCAGGCTGCCATAGTCACGTGATCCTCATTTACAGTGTTCCCCTGACAGCTTCTCACAAGTCAGTGGCACTGAATGAGAGCTACTAATGACAGATCCTCATAGCTGTGGCCATTGCAGCATCCCTGTGGTCATGCGATTGGAATTCGGGTGCTTGGCAACAAGCTTTGCAATTATAACATCACAGCATCCCGGAATCATGGGTTTGTCATTTGCGACAATTTCCCCACAAACAAAGGGAGTGATTTGGATTGAGTTAGCAATTCTAAAACAAAAAACAAAAAAACCTGTAATTTGGAAATTAATGTCCTTCAGAGTTACTATCACTAAAAAAAGAATAATAGCAATAGAAGGCACTATCCACTTGGAACTTGTTTTTCATTCTTTGTATTGAATAGTTGCTTAAGAGTAGCTTACCTAAGAATTGCTTAAAATGCAATAATCCTATACAGTACTTATTTATTTTATTTATTTATTTTTATAACTTATATGCCGCCCTTCTCCCCACGGGACTCAGGGCGGCTCACAGCATGTTAAAACAACACAACACATTTCCCCTATAAAAGCCAATTAAAAACCAAATATTTATAGCTGTGTCTTATTAAAATCATTAAAATTGTCCCTATTTAAAATTCACCCTAGGTCAGTCCCGCTTGCTGAAAAAGCCAGTTTCTAAGGTTAAAGATAAGTAACTGAGCCAGTTTCTAAGGTTAAAGATAAGTAACTGAGAATCACATTATAAGTCTTGCAGAAATAAGGTAATTTAGCTCTCAAAATTGTAAAATACAAAGGAAAAAGCAGAAAGATTGCAGTGTAATGGAAAGCATTCACAAGGAAAAGCGATCATCAGTATTGTCAATTATTAATTAAATGACATCACTTTAAGCTTTGTCAAATATAACTCGTTTGTCTAGAATGGAGAAGAGGATCATAACAGAGGGCTAAACTGTTCTTAACAAATGTTTGGATAAATGTGTTCCCTCAGTTTATTCTATTCATGAGAAAAATGCTAGCTCAAACCCCCAAAAGACACATTTTATACTATTTGAGCTACTTCAAACAGAAAAGCAGAAATACAGTAAAACAAACCAAAATAAATAGTTTGGGTAATAAGTTCCATCCCATATGTGATATGAAAAGAGGATGAGATAAACAGGATGTTAAAGAGACCTATTCTATGTGGTACTAAAAAAATGCCAAATGAATTGAGGTACTGTACTGATATAAATTTGGAAAATTTGTGTCCATTTCACAAACATTTTCTCAAACTAAAGGCTATACTGAATCCAGAGGTATAATCTATCTGATTTAGTCCAATTCCTGCAAATTACTCCTAAAGGGTTTTTTTTCCTTAAAATGAAAGCATCATATAATGATGTATAAAAAAAACAATTATGGTAATATACTACTTTTATACCCCAAACAAGTACCTGCACATTCTTATACTGCATACTCTTTGAACAGTTCTAATCATCTTTTCATGCCAAATATGATCATGAAGTGTCAGTTTCATGGGTTTTCCCACTACCTATGAGAGAAACCAGCTCCATATGAAAAGGTAGTTTATACATTCCTGTTCCTACATTTTTAGTATTTGAAATGGAATGTGTTGTGTAGTGAATGAAACAAGAAAAAGCTATTTGTATCTAATGTGGAGATGCAGTTCATAGGCTAACAGAAATCATATATTTTAATCTATTTTTAAGCACTTTCACGCTGAATCCCTTCATAGTGAAATGATATTACTCAAATTAGAGAGATTTGTCTGGCCTCTCAAATAAGCAATAGCCTATAAATATGAGCAGGGAAAGTCTTCACAAATCTAATGTTTGGAGGAAGCGATATAAAAACTATAGAATGGAGAGTCATCCTGGTTTGAAATCTCTGATATCTTAGAGTTTAGCAAGCTTATTGTTGCTAAAGCATTGAGTTTTAAATATGACAACAGACATTTTGCACTGAAGATCTAAAAGTTAGGTTCTTGTATATTATCTCCAGCACCAATGAAACAGCTTTCTGATCAGCATCAGTTAATTCTATGCCTGATCATAACATCCACGAAAGCAATGAGTTTCTACTTGACTTTAGAAAAACTCAGTTCTAAAGTAGATGCTCAGAGAATAAGGAAAATCTCTTTTGACTATAACAGTGATGGCGAACCTTTTAGAGACCGAGTGCCCAAACTGCAACCCAAAACCCACTTATGCATCGTTGGGTGCCGGGTGGGTGTGGCCCATTGGGTGGGCATGGCCAAGTGGGTGGGCGTGGCTGCAATGGTAACGGCAGACTGGGTGGGACTAAAAAGTTCAATCAATCAATTTCAACTTTGCAAGATCTTTTTTTTTCCCGCAAGAAGTTGAAATTGACTGATTGAAACTTTTTTTTTTTTTTGTACACCGCCACGGAGGCCTAAAGCTAAAAGGTTTTATAAAACCCAACTGAAGGCCTAGGACTGGGGTGACGGCGCGCGTGCCCACAGAGAGGGCTCTCAGTGCCGCCTCTGGCACCCGTGCCATAGGTTCGCCACCACTGGACTATAACTAAGATTTTGACCCCTTTCAGCCATAAGGGGATAACATGTCAAATTATGGTCAAAACCAGTTATTGCTTAATTTAGATAATACCTTTAATGAATCGACACACATTTCTGAAAATAACAAATAAACAAAGCAAAGAAACTATTGACATATGTCTAAATAAAACATTTCCTTTCACTTTCTGGGCCTTTCTTTCTTATATAGATCTTAATAATATGCATGCTATCTGGATTTCTCCCTAACACCATAAATGTTGGTAATGCAAGAAGGGTGTAGGACATCTCGCCACAGCTATCTCACCGGGGTCGACTTGCCCCATCCAACTCACTGTGGGACAATTCACCACAGCCAACTCACCGCAGGACAATTCAACGGGGGATAACTCAAGAGAGAGAGATGTGAATTGCAGCAGGCCTTGTCTTGCTTTAGATTTGAACCTTCTCAAGGCAGAAGACCTCAAGGCTGGGGTGAGCTTAATTCTACTTAAGTTATCTCGTGCTGACTTGTCCCACGGTGAGTAGGCCGGAACAAGTCGTCCGCTGTGAGTTGTCCCATTCCAATGTAAAGATGTACCTTCATAATATTATCTCTACCAAAACTTACTTCTGCAATATGTTTAGCATCAACCACTCCTTTGTAATCAGAAAATACTTTATGTCCCCAAAGCCTGTGGATTTTCTCTTGACAGCAACAACTGTCAAACAAATGAATACTGAAAATGCACATACAGAAGCTTCATGAACTTATTACTATCAAGTAACAAAGGTGACAAAGAATCTGTTGGAAATATAAAATTCTACAGCACATTCACATTAGAAGCTGTTCCTGCTGAATTGTAGTTCAAAGGAAGGCATCAGAAAGTACAATAGTATCTGTGATAGACAATTTTATCTTACCTATGTACAGCTCCACTTCTGAGTGTAACTTTTTCAGTAACCATTTCAAGAACCCGATCCCACTGATTTAGTGCTTTTCTTGGGATGAAAAGACGCACTGCTGGGCTTACAAGATCACCATTAGCAACCAGGCTAAATAAATTATAGAAAAATAACAATTAGCTGAATATTCAGCAATAAACATGCTTATTAGAAAACAAGCAAGGCTGGCTTATATGTCAATTTTTTCAGACTTGGTCACACCACCAGTGGCCATCTAATGGTCATTTCACCAGGTGAAGGAAAGAAAAAAGCATTCTACTTACATCTTTATAATGTTAAAAACTGTCACATGAATAATCTTTATTTCTTTTTTATACTCTATTACCTTTTCCTTTTTTATTATGTCTTTTTAGGCTGTAAGCTGCAGGGCAGGAACTCTTTTCATTAAACTGTACATTATACTGAGAGACTCTCCGGCTAAAATAAGAATATAAATGATTTAAATAAATACTTACAATACAGTGCATGGCTCCTGAAGTGGTTTTCGAAAGCGTGCAGACACATTAATTCTGCTGTGGGTAACTGGCTTCACCTGAAAGACACCCCCATCCAGGAAAGTCAAGTATTTATCCTACATTAATTTGTTTTAAAACTATTTTTTAAAAAAACTTTTCCATCGGTACTTTAAAAGACTTTGCACATTATTAAACAATGATACAGTGCACGCCGCTGTGTAATTATAGTTGCCTTTTAGATATGCATTTGCAAGGTTTCTCTTTTGCTTTTCTCATCCAGCCTTTGGTTTTTCTTGTTGCTACGTAATTGACTTGAGCTTCAGAAGTGAATTAGTGCCATTATTAATATGCCAGGGGATGTTGTGGAATGAGCAATCACAGAAATGCTGCCCTCCCACTGTTGTCAGTTCTACTAATTTCTTAGCTGTTTTACATAGTTCATGCCTAGTGGCTTGGAAAGACATCTCTCTCATTTGTCACTATGACCTAGTGCCAGTAACTGGGAAATGTTATGTTTATCTTTAAAGTTTCTTATATTCAAAAATGTTGAAATGTGGTAGCTGTTGTAAATGCTGCTTAAGCTTGATTTGGATGTAATATGTATTAAATTATTAAACTGCAATGTGCTCTTTCAACACACCATGATTCCTGAGATTAATTTGTAAATTTTCTTTATACCCAAAATAAGAAATTGGAGTTATCAGATACGGAACTCACCAAGATTTGAAAAGAAAACTTCCACCTATGCTTTCAGACTGTGTTTTATTTGAACCCAAGAACCAGTTTTACATTTTAAACACAAAAAATATACTTCACTAACATTATTGAACTGTAATCATGACAAGCAGACAAAAATATAAGGAAATGGAAAAGATATTACATGACAATGTTACTTTAGAACTCGATCAGGACACAGAACTAGAAGGAGTAAGAGAAAAAGAACAATCACAAGATTTGTGTTTATGTTTGTACTTGTGTGTATGTGTACTTTATATATACTATACACACACAGGCCCATTTTAAATATGTTATATTTATATAGTACGATTAAATATAATGTTATAAGTTACCTAGATAAGTAGCAATCTCAGACTTTTCATACTGCATTCAAACTGACAAAAAGCAGAATACAGGTAGTCCTCCTGAACATCCATTTGTTCACCAACCATTCAAAGTTCTGGCTGTTGCAGCGTGCCTATGGTCACATGAACAAAATTCAAGCCCACTCAGACCCACCTGCAATTATGACTACCCTATGGCTGCCTGCCTTCCACTGAGGTCAACTTTCCTTACCACCCAGCCTTGCCCATCACCACTTATGCCCACCGCATAACACACAACTACTGTACTAGACAGGGACTTCTTTCATGATGGTGCAGCCGGGGTTTCTTCTGTGCTCTGCCCAGGATGTCCTTTGGCATTCCAGCATTCAGTATCTCTGTTCTCACCAGTGCCTTTTTTCATGCCAGCAGCCTTAATGTTGAGGGCAGTTGTGGTCAGCCAGCAGATGGAAGGCCAAACGGTCAGATGGTGGGGGAGATAGGCAGGTGAAGGGAGTTCAAGAGCAGGCAGCCCCTTACCTTACCAAGGCTCAGGGCTGGGAGAGACCAAGCCAGCTTGGATAAGGATGGATCCTACCTAACAACCAATGGGATTCAGTTAACAACATCAACAAGGATTTGCATCTTGCATCGTATGATTGCCACATCACACTTTATGGCCCCATGACTTAGTGGCAGAAATCTGTGTCCCAATTTCTATCATTAAACAAGAACTACCTGTCCATGCTTTTCTTCCTCCATTGTACAGTAATAATTAGGAGCGAACTGCCACAAATCAGTGCTTAAGTTCTCCAGAATTCTGAAATCCAATCGGTTTTGAATTTTTTTCTGATTTTTATATTAACATAATAGCTTTTTAGCTTTGTTATTGTTGAAATAAATCAGTTTTTTCTTCCATGCTGCTTCTGCTTTGAAGCATAGTAATTTCCAATTTGTAGCTGAGATTAATTGGTTGAAATTGATTGGGTTTTTGATATAGGTTCCTTATTTGGAACCAAGATTTTGTGCAGAACGTAAACCTGAAAATCATACAAATAGTGCTATATTATTCAGGATTATATATTTAGATGTCTATATAAATATGAATTGTTTTCATCTTTTTCTTAATTATTAATTTATAAAATTATGTTCTTTAAACACATACATGAATGAATAAAATAAGCATTTGGGAATATATCGGAAATTATATAACATGTTTTCTTTCTTTGAAGATATTCTCCCATTTGATAGCTATCCATAATTCAACTCAACCTAGTTAAAATCTTTTTGGGTACTACTTACTAGAAAGAAAAGGTAAAACCCATATAGCATCAGCACTTTTACATACATACTCTAAAAACAGATTTTTTCATTAAATATGCTTCCAATTTCAATCCTTTCAAAAATCCAACGCTGAGAGGCCTTTGGAGATATTCAGTAACCAATATGTACAATTATAAGAGATTCAAACTGCCCACTTATTCTTTATTATTATTATTATTATTATTATTATTATTATTATTATTATTATTATTATTATTATTATTATTAAAATTTTATTAGGTTTTATAAGGGTAGGAAAGGGTTAGGGTTGGGGATAGGGTCAGTATGGGTATTAGGTAGGGTTGGGAAAAAGAGTTAGGGTAGGTACAGTAGTCATTCAACGCTTCAGCAAGCGGACTATCATCTGGGTACAAATATTAAACAACAGTAGTTAATATAGTATTAAACACTTATAATCACTAAAAATAGCAATAATCATGAACGTAATAGTTAATCAATAAGTCTCATTCAGCCTATTAAGTTTCACATTCCTTTCTCGCTAGCTCGTATTGTTAACCATTGATAGAATTTTTCCCATGTTTTAAAATAAATTGAGTCTTCTTTCTCTTTAATCTCTAACGTTTGTCTGTCCACTTCTGCACATTCTAAGATTTTTGTAATTATAATTTGGTCAGATGGTAAGTTCTCACTTTTCCAAAATTGGGCAAATGCTATTCTCGCGGCTGTCAGTACATGTAATATTAAATATTCATTCTCTTTTCCATAATTAAGTCCAAATATTCCTAGCAAGAACAATTCTGGTTTAAATTCTATCTGTATTCTAAAAAACCATTTAAAAACTTAGTTGACAAAGTTGGGATGTACCACTACTTTAAAATCACACTTTTTGTCAGGCGCAAGCAACCAGAACAATTCATGATTAGTCTCAAGCAGAAGCTTTATTGTTAGTCACCTATGTTACAAGAATCTCATCGGACTGACTGCATTCCTTTGGGAATGGTCAGATAAGGCTTCAGGGATTCTGGGGAAAGTCAGGCCTGTGCCGCTTCCTGCACTGCAAGGACTCTAAGCTTGGCCCCCTCTTAACACCTCCCTTCAGTCTAGCTGGAGATTCCACCACACTTTTCTATATACTCTGCATTTTTATGACTCTTTAAAAAATCCTTGTCCTATATATTGAAGAGCTATACTATAACAAGACACTCAAAATATTCCCAGGAGTGTGCAATTATATTCTCTGCATGCTGATGAAACCTAACAAAGTGTCTCAACAAGGCAACATATTGTAGAAGACAGTTGTCTAAGCTACACATACATCAACAGTACCCACAAGAGCCTTGAATGTGAAATTTCCCTAGAGTCCTTTCAAAAACTGCTCTCAATTTATTATTTTAATATAACAGAATAAACACATGATAATAGAATAAGTATACAAGAAATACTGTACTCATATTAACTGAATTTAATTAATGTAAATAATGTTTAAATTAATTGGGATAAAATCATACTTAATGTTCGTCCTGTCCCAACATTTTTGTTCCTGATCTAGTCACTTTCCCTCAGCCCTAGAAATTAAAAGGCAATGACAAACGCTTCCAAAACCTAGCCAACAAAACTGAAAAAAATTGTCCAGGTAGTCGCCAGGAGTCAATACTGACTCAAAAGTGTGCGAGCGAGCATGTGTGCGTGCATACACACACACACATACACACACACACACACAAATTAATTTATTGGAGTATGATTCCTGGCTTGCCAGTAAAAGTCCAAATATAGTCCATAGAATGAAAAGTTTAACACTCTTGCTCTTAATTGGTAATAAATGATCTGAACTTATTATTGATGGTGTAGTATCTTTAAATACTTCTGGAAAATTCTATATCAAAAATATAAATATTGCAGAAACCTCTTTTTAGACAAGTCTCTAATAATAAATCATTAATACTTCAGACTGCCTTAGCCTTTCTAGAAAACAACATGTTCTAAAATAAGGCAATCCTATGGGAGTATATGGTATGACTGGGGCATTTGAGATTTGCAAAGTTATGCTGATTTGTAAAGTGCATTGCACTGGCCTATACCTCATTTCATTCCTCAAAAAACTATCTATTCAACATTTAGATACCAAATGGAATACATTAAAATGTACTAAAACTCAAAACATGTTTTATAATTCAAGTGTTTTCATTCAAAATGTAGCATGTAGTGTGATATAAGCCCATACTTGGAATATTTCATTCAGTTTTGGTCACCACAATATATAAAGAAACTCTAGAACAGGGGTGTCAAATGTCAAACGTGACGTCGCGGGTTTGACATGTCAGCTCTAGAAAGAGTGCAGAGAAGAGCAACAAAGATGATTAGGGGACTGGAGGGTAAAACATATAAAGAGCGGTTGCTGGAATTGGGTATGTTCTAGTCTAAGGAAGAGTAAGGACTAGGAGTGGCATGATAGCAGTGTTTCAATATTTGAGAGGCTGCCACTAAGAAGAGGGTACCAAAGTACCTGAACGCAGGGCAAGCAATGTATGGAAACTTATCAAGAAGAGATCCAATATAGAAATAAAGAGAACTTTTTTGACAATCAGAACAATTAATAAGTGGAACAGTTTGCCTTCAAAAGTTGTGAATGCTCCATCACTGGACATTTTTAAGAGATTGGACAGCCATTTGTACAGGGTCTCCTGTTTGAGAAGGGATTTGGACTAAAAGACCTCCAAGATCCCTTCCAACTTTGTTATTATGTTATTCTG